TATTTATTTGTACTTTAAAATGTTTTCTTAAATAGATGTACTTAAGATTATTATGTATATCAAAAAATAAAACTTAAAGTCAAATTCATCTACATATAATATAACACATGAAAATTATAATAAAATAATATTTAAAGTATTGATTCGGGGTATCGCCCGAGTTAAACACTAGTTGTTTTTTAAATGGTAGTTAATGGCAAAATTTCAAACTAGATAGAGTAGGAAAAGAACTTGATTGGTAGGCTTGTGTTTGATGGGCTGAGCACCTACACAAATAAGCACGTAAGCTGATTTCGGGGATGTATCTGGTAAAACCCTTTTGATACTTAATTAACTCGTCCTTTGGGGTTTTCACCAAAAAAAAAACTTTTTTTGGCGTAGATACAAATGAAGGGCCTAAAATAGCGTAAGCTGCAGATCAACAATACATGGGCCTTGTTGGGCAGTGTTAAGCATGATTGACCAAGGCCTTGACAATTAAGCCAAGAGAGGCCCAATGACACCAAAGTCTATCAGGCCCAAAATGAAAGTCATTTTGACACCAAAACAACTTGTATAGTATTTGATTTTTATACTTGTAGTTTTGCTCAATCTTGAAATAGAAGAAACTATGTTGTAGTTTCTCAAAAACTTATACATTGCATGAAGTAATTATGTCAACTAAATAACTCTGCCATTTTATTTCATATTTACAAGTAAATTATACATATATTTTTTGTTATGAAGATTAATTGAAACAATAAGTAAATAATTGATAAAGACGGGCATTCTCGCAAATAAATAAAAACATAATTAAACAGAGTTGGTTGAAGGTAATAGAACAATCTTGATATATTCAGCAAGTGCCCACAATGGAAAATAATTCCTGTACAATGGATAATCTAATATGCATGCCTTCATGCATGCTCCCGTAATTTCCTGTTTTTCAGGATAAATTTCATAGCAATTAAAAATAAAAAATAAACAATTTAACTGCCAAATTGAAATTATTATTACTCTGTACTTTTTCTACCTTTTCTATATCTTATCTATAAAAGTGCCATTTTTCATGGACTAACATGTTCTGGGAGGAAATGGGGTATTTTTTTTTTATTAAAGTTGAACTTAATTCACACGAAATTTTTTTGATTAAAAGAGAATAAAGTCACTTGAATGAAACTTAGGATGTGTTTTATTCACCTGATTTTCATATCTGAACTTAACTGATCTTATCTGAACTTATTAAATCTTATAAAAATTTATTTTAATTATAATTTGTATTTGGGTAACTCTTATCAAAATTTATTTTCCTAAACTGAATTTATCTGAACTTAACTAAACTTATCTGAATTAAAATAAGTGAAAATAAGGTGAACAAAACAAACCCTTATTGATAAGTAAATTAGTGGGTTTTGCTGCATGGTGTAGAGGACTAAGGTCCCTCTTTGCCTGATTAGGATTTAATGAAATATAAAAATTAGTAAAAGTCGAAGTGATTTTTATATACTATTCTCGGGCGCAAGGTACATCCAAATGACTAAGGATATATTTTGCTCATTTCGATAATATGCTCATTCAACTGTCAAATGAGCAAAAAAATAATTTTGGATGACTTTACCCCCGGGTGTATATAGAATTTTTTTTTAGAGTCGAACTTAGAAAAATTCAATAGTCCATAATTTTTATTTTTATTTTTATTTTTTATGAAGCAATCAATAGTCCATAATTAATTAATGGTTTCTGTTTTCAACTTAAATGAAAATTTTACTATAGCCATCCTTAAAATGACTATCACTATATTTAATTTTCATTGGTCAATTTTTGATTTATTTTTTTGTTGGTCAAACTTCTCAAAAGTGATTTTCTTTTTTAAAAATACAAGTTTTTCGAAAATTAATTTCTTCTTATAAAATTGATGTTATAAAAGGTTCTTGAAAAAAAAAGAATTTTATTTATTTATTTATTTATTTATTTATTTATTTTTAAGAAGTTGACTAACAATAAATTAAATGAAAAATTGGCCAATGAAAATTAAGTATAGTGGTAGTCATTTTAAGAATGACTATTATAAAAACCACCCAAGTTAAAAGGTAAAATTTACAATGAGAAGGAACCATAAGTAAATTAATTTATCTACAACAATCCCCTTTTATTTTGTATACATATTACTTTCAACACTTCAACTAGATGCACTTATCAATTGACCTTTATTATATATAAGGAAAAATTCATGGGAATAATCCCACCTTTAGGCCATTCTTTTTTAATAATCCCACCTTTGGATTATTATTTAATAATCCGACCTTTGGGTGTCTTTAATTTTTATTGGTCCCGTTTTACTTGGAACCGGCTAACAAGGTAAATCATTCTTACGTGGACTTGGGTTCTCTAATTTTCCCCCTAAAAGATGCCAGGTCATCTCTCCCTCCTCCCAACCACCCTCGTTAATGTTTGAAAGAACTCCTCCCTCATTACTCACTTGAACAAAGCCTGTAAAAAAATTTCAACCAGTTGAGTACGGTGCCCTAAAGTCTGAAGCTTCCATTGTTGGTGATATTTGGACAGCAAAGAACTCCATTTAAGGTAAGTTTTGAACCCTAATGTACGCCTGAAATTTTGCTAATTTTGCAAGTGTATCTCGAACCTTAAGCAATTAAACTCGAAATTGATGATTTTGCGAATTGTGGGTGCGAATTGTGGTTTGTTTGTCTTATGTTATGATTTTTTTTTGTTGGTTTACGTTAATTGAGATTGAATCCTAAATGCTAGGTTTTTGTTGTGTTGTTTTTGTTGGTTTTTGTTGGCTGTTGATTGTGCTATAGTTCCTGTTAATTTAGGTATGGGTCGTAAATCTCGTAATAAAATAAGCTTGAAAATGTGGCATGGAGGGGTGTTTCAGCAGCTTGACAATGGTGGGTTGTGTTATATAAATGGGCAAGGTAGAACTTTTAGTGTAGACCCTGATGAACTGTGCTTCTTTTATCTTGTGGAGTTGGTTATGAAGTGTGCTAGATATGATGGTAGAATTCAGGGCTTTTTATACTTAGTTCCTGGACTTAGTATGGTGGATGGTTTGAGGAAGGTGACAGATGATGAAAGTATGAGGGAAATGATACAGGTGGCAGAGAAGCACAGGGGGGTGGAGGTATATGCTATGCATGGTGACAATGACCCAATAGCCTTTCCTACTGAACTACAGCCTGCTTCCTCAAAATAAACCCAACCCAAAACTGTGAGAACAAAAAAACTACCAATAAAGAGGGGACCACCTGTTAGATCTAGTCCAAGAAACAAAAGTCAGCCATTGACTATTGATGAACCTTCCCAAAAATCCCTTGACAGCTCATCATTGCCAAAAAAAGATGCTCCCACTAAAGTTATTCCCAATCCACCAACCATTACCCTATCTAACCAAAGTACATGTAGAATAAAATATGTTATAAACCCTAATACCACATTTGAAATATCTCAGCCCACTCCCTCTTCCATAGCAGCTGCAAACACAGAAAATGACCCTATCAACAGTTATGAGTGGGAAGATTCAAGGCCTGACAACCCTATCCCCATTAATGATTTGATACCAGATTTTAGCAGTGACAGTGACACAGCCGACCCTAGTTACAACCCACAAGTTGACAAAGGAAAAGGAGTCAGTAGCCAGCCTTTCTTTAGAGAAGTGTTTACAGATGACAGTGGGGAGGAGGATGTGTTACATGCAGAGTTTGATGGTGGTGCTGATATAGGTGAAGAGGATTATGATGGTGAGGAGGCAGAGGAAGAGTATGAGAAGGAGATTGAAGAGATTTTGAATGAGGACCTACAGTATCAGTCTGACAGTGGGGATGAAGAGTACAACATAGCTAGGCAAAGGGTAAGGGATACAACTGCCCAGCTTGTTGATATTGCAAGGAAAATCCAAACTGAAGTAGCTAAGGGTGTAAGCATACAGCAGGAGGTTGGGGAAGCTGGAGCTGGTGAACCTTCTGGCCCCCTGAGTGATTATGAATAGAGTGATGAGGAAATACATACCCCACCTGATAGTGGTGAGGAAGATTTGATTCCTGTAAGGAGAAAAAGATTAGGTCTGTTGGTATCTAAAGAAACAGATTTTGCAACTTTTGAGTGGAAAGTTGGGCAGAAATTTGCAAATAGAGAGGATTTCAAGGATGTTGTAGCAAAGTATGGAGTGTTGCAGGGCAGAGATGTGAGTATTGTTGTGAGTAACAAAAATGGATCATAGAGGTTAGGTGTCAAATGCACAGAAAGTTGTCCATTCTATGTGTATGCTTCCTGGGATAGTAGGAGAGCTACAATAATTGTTAAGACAGTGAAAGGTGTTCACACTTGTCAGAGAAATATGAAGAGGAACATGCAGCTCAAATCAAGTTTTGTTGCAAAGCAATATCTAGATGTGTTTAAAACCAGGCCACATTGGCCAGCAAAAGAGATTATTGAGTATGTAAGGAAGGCAAACATGATGCTGGTCACCAAATACTTTGCCTATACAGTTAAATACACTGCCCATAGACTGTTACATGGGTCAATGCATGACCACTACAACAAGCTAGGAGGGTATTTGAAGGCAATAGAGGAATGCAGTCTTGGAACAGAATTGGAGCTTGTAACTGACACGACTATTCATATGTTTTGAAGGTTTGAAAACTGGGTGGATGCAAGGTTGTAGGAAGGTCTTGGCAGTGGATGCCTGTTTTCTGAAGACCTTTATGGGGGGTCAACTGTTGGCTGCTGTTGGCAGGGACAGTAATGACCAGATGTTCCCAGTGTGCTGGGCTGTAGTTGAAGGTGAAAACAACTCCAGCTGGGAGTGGTTCTTCATGAAACTTTCTGCTTGTCTAAATCTGGAAGAAGGAGAAGGGATCTCAATCATTTCTGATGAGCATCAGGTATGATTCCTAACTTATTTCGTTAGATGAGGTAATTTTATATACTTTGCCTATAATAGCGGACTATGCTCAATTGAATTCTTTATTGTTTGTTTTGTAATTTGACAGAGTATAGTGCATAGTGTCTCAACTGTTCTGCCTAAGGCAGAGCACAGACACTATGCTAGACACATATTTGCTCATTGGCACAAGAAGTATAAAGGAGATGAGCTGAAATTGTTGTTTTGGAGGATTGCAAAGGCATACAATATGGCTGATTAAAATGAAGGACTTGAGAAGCTTGCAGAGTTGAATGTGGATGCAGCCACTGACTTCAAATTGCATAGGCCTGAATTGTTCTGCAGAGCTTTTTTGAATCCTGCAGTCAAGACTGATGCAATTACTTCAAACATAGCAGAGACATTCAATGGGTACATCATTCAAGCAAGGACTAAGCATTTGCTCTACATGTTAGAAGACATAAGAGCTACTTTGATGCAGAGATTGGTGTTGAAAAGGCAAGCTATGATGAAAGCCACCTCAATGCTTTGTCCAAGAATTCAAGCCAAGTTGGAAGCTAAGAAGGCGAAGGCTGCAGAATGTGAAGTAACTCCTTCCTCTGAAACCCTTTTCAATGTTAATTACAACTTAGATCAGCTAGTGGTGAATTTGGAAAGTAGGAGCTGTACTTGTAGGAAATGGGATATGCTTGGCATCCCATGTTGCCATGCAGTGGCTTCCATATACTTTCTAGGCAAGGAACCAGAGCTGTTTGTGGATAAATGCTACTACAAGGACATTTATTTGTCAGTGTATGCAGGTAACTAATCTACCATTAAGGCATGCATTTTGGCCGCCCTTTTTTTCTAGATTTTGTTGTGAACTAATGCCTTTCTTTTATGGATTTTGTTAGGCTCCATTCCACCAATTCAAGGTGAAAGACACTGGCCAGTAGTTTCTATGCCTATTGATCCTCCACCAATCAAAATTGGTCCAGGGAGGCCAAGGAAAAATCGAATCAAAGATCCATATGAGTACCCCAAAAAATTTGGTTCCTTGATAAGAACAGGGATTGAAATGACTTGTTCCCTCTGCCAAATAAAAGGGCATATCAAAAGAAAGTGCCCTAACAAGGACAATGTACAACCACCTAAACCTGCTCCAAAAAGGGCTAGAGGGAGGCCTCGCAATGATGCTGCAGATGCACCTCAACCTACACCAACATATGTGCAATCCACTCAGGCTACACCCTCTTCTAGGCAACAAATTGATACAAACCACCACTCCCTAACTGCTCAACCTACCATACTTGGTAGAGGAGGAAGAACAATAATAATGGGTAGGGGATCAAGGGGTGGAAGGGGTAGATGAGGTGTTGTTGCCAATGCTGGAAGGGGAAGGGGTTCAGATGTTGCTGGTTCTAGCAGAGATGCATCAAGTGGGAACAAGGGAGTAGGAAGGGGCAGGGGTAGTACCAGGGGCGGAGGAAGGAACCAGGTATATTTTCCTAGTTGTACATAACTTATTTGTATGTTGTAACTTTTTGTTGCTTATTTGGTGATGTGTTATAACTGTTCAGGTCCCAGAAGGTGTAGGTGTATTCATTGCATCAGATGGATCTGCAATGACTAGTGTAAGTGCCTTTTTGTTGTCACTTTATGTGTGTTTGATTTAGCTTGCAATTAATGTTATATTAATGTTAATCTGTTGTTGTATCTGTGTGCAGACCCAAGCCAATCAAAGGAGAACAACATCAGCTATGGGCTGGTTCTAGTGCAGTCAAGAAAGTCAACTTTCCACCTTACATCAACCAACTCAATAGTCAACTAAGTAGTGGCATGAACAGTGACTCACTTTTGGTGTAATGAACTAATTCAGTGTTTGTACTTTGTTTATGTAACCTTTTGGGAACAGTTTTCTAGGCATGTTGGCTTATAGAAGTCAATATGCATATTACAATGTAATGGCATGAACTATGGCAGGGTTCATTTTGTGTCTTTTGGACTAAACATTGTCAACTTATTATGTTCAATGTAACAGCTTTTTGAAATGTGTTCATTTCTATATGATAATTGAAGTTGTAAGCAAATTTTTGTCAAAATAACTTCCTTTTATTCATCAAATCATTGCAGCATACATATCTTGCATAGCCACCAGGTTTTTTGACCATACATGTCACAAATGCCCAACATACAATCATTTCCCAACCTAAACTAACTTATTCACTCTAACCAACTATCATCTGCACAACATCACTGTCATGCCTTCAAATACACTAAAAGAAAAGCAAAGAAAATCCATGACACAAACAGAGCAATGGAGAAGTTTTTTTCATTCCTTGACGCCTTCATTAGTTCAATTCTAGTGTGGCAAAGCTCCATTTTGGTATCATTCAACTCATCCTCCTTAACTCCCAAATTCTTCTCAAATTTTTTCAACTGCTCCTTCATGAAATCAATTTCAATCTCTTTTTCAGCAACTTGAGTATCTCTTTCAAAAACCTGGAATCGTAGATCTTCAAGGTCCATTTTGTTAGCATTAACCCACTGAAAGAATCCACAATCACTCTCTTATAAAAAAAAAAAACCCAGAATCAATTGAATTTGAAATCCCTAATTTGATTTTCCCAATTGAATTATCTTAAGTTCAATAGCAAAAACAAAAAATTGTCACTTCCCACCACACTTACAGGCCATTAAGGGCATCCATAGAACTTCATACCCACATTATCGCCATTCCTCACCGTCCGAATTACAGCTTCTACACCGCATTTGCACTTCAATTTTGGGGAACCCCAACCAACTGACCTTGACGAAGATGATCCACTTGAACCAATTTGCCTCCTACTAGCCATTGCAACCAAATTTCAGTGACAATAGAGGAATTTGAGAGCAACAATGGCGTTTAAGGAAGAGAGGAAACAGAGAAAAGAAGAAGAAGACCCAACAATTAAGGGACGTGGCATTTTAAACAAAATTAAAAAAAATTTAAAAGGAATATCACTGTTGGAAGCCACGTAGGACTAATACCGGCTACAACAAGTGAGGTAACCTCTAGGGACCAATAAAAATTAAAAACACCCAAAGGTCGGATTATTAAATAATAATCCAAAGGTGGGACTATTAAAAAAGAATGGCCTAAAGGTGGGATTATTCCCATGAATTTTTCCTATATATAATTATATATTTAAAAAAATTAGAAGAAAGTCTATATGTAAAAATATTCATTAAGATTAATCAATCAATATCTGTACATACTAACATTTGCATTCATGTACCGTAAATAGCACAAAAGTTCAAAATTATGTAAGATGAAATCGAGGATGAAAGGAGTACTTACTCCTCGTTCCGGTTTTTAATGCCTTACTATGTACACACATTGCATTGACTAAAGTTTTGCGCTTTATACATAAGATTAATTATAATTATGTGTGTACTCTCTCTCTCTCTCTTTTTCTTTTTTTTTCTTTTTTTTTTTTTTATGCGTGTATTTGTCAGAATTGTTTTAATTTAAAATTTTCCAATATTAACATTTTATAATTTATACTTACTAGTTAATATTATTAATAATCATAGATATCACTTGTCAAAGTTTTACATTAGCATATATATCTGCATATGTAATGATCAAAATGAGTCATCCGTACGATCTGGGCTGTTTCTCTCTTGACTTTGGATTTTTAAAAAAATATAAGTATATACGGAGTAACAAGGATTTACATACAAATACACCATGTAACATACGAAGCATTAAGTTAGTATGTACCTGCCCAACATAGAGTAGACCCATCAAAGCCCATGCAGTTTGGCCAAATTGGACTTTGCAAGTGGCACAAGTTCCTTTTGTTATATCCATCAGAGCAATACATACATACAAAAATATAAATAATTATGCCGTATATTTGTTAACTCTTATAAATAATTATGCCAAGATTAATAAAAAACTCTTATAAATAATTATGCCCAAGATTAATAGAAAACTAGTGTTTGGTCCGGACGATACCCCGAGTTACTGCATTATTTCCATGATAAAAATCTTTATTATTATTTAATTTTTATTGAATGACATGTAATATGGTAATAGCTTAGTGGCTAACACGTTGGAGCTTAAACTTGAGGTTGTGGACTTGTGGGTTCAAATCTTTAAAAACCATACTTTTAGACATGGAGTAAAAATCAGACTAAATGAGGAGAGCGCCACGTAGCACCTAAACTTCTTTAGGAACGCCTTTTAATATATAGTATAGAATTTTTTTAGAGACGAAGGAAATTGTACTAAAAAGCGCGTGAATTGCATTGCGCATATAGTTGATATTGCAAATTAAGTGTTAGAAGTCATGAACTTAATTACCTCCTTGTGACAATCTTCAATGAAAAAAAAAAAAAAAAAAAAAAACCTACCTCCTTGTGACATGAAAGGTAGCTCTCACCCCAGCCACCATCTTCCATTTGTGTTGTGAGAAGAAATTCAACACCCTTTCTAATGGCTGCACAATTATCGTATATCTTTCCTGTTGCGACTAGCCCTTTAAGAGCAAAAAATGTCCCATACGTGAAGCAAATTCCCCAATTTCCGTACCTACACTCAGTAATATACTAATTTCGTCATACATAAATAGTTATTTAGGTCTAGATTATAATGGTGAAGATTTTTCCATGGCAAATTATCTTGGTAAGAATTAGGGTTGTTCATTACCGGGTACCCGAAGAGGCGGGTACCAAGGATTTCGAGTACTCAAACATTCGGCCCATGACCCAACCCGTGAAATAATCTAATTTCTCCAATTTTTAATCTGAATTTTTTAATCAGGTGGAACGATAATCTAATTTCTTCATTTTTTAATCTGAATTTTTTCACCATTCACATATTTTTCTTTGACTTATGTTTGTGTTTCAAGTGTAAGATATATATATTTATTTTTAAAAAAATCTTTATTATATAAACAAATTAAAGATACTAGTGGTCAAAGTTTTACATTGACAAGCGGCGTAAGTAAAAATAAATTAAGTATATTAATTAAATGTATCATGCATGTTTGTAAAACGCTTGTACACATGATAATATAAAGTGTGTAGCTACATACCAAGATCCATTAGGATATTGACAGCTCTCAATGTATTTAACAGCCTTTGAGATTGAAGTTTCAATCTCATTCTTCCTACGGCTTGGGTATAACTTCTTGAACAATACTAGAGCTTGAATTATCGAACTTGTACACTCTACGTACCTACAATAAATGCACATCAATCTTGTCATTTGCGTAAACAATTAACTAATAACAAATGTTGAATTTGGGAACAATTTAAACGGAATACTTACTCGTGTTCGACGACAACTTTCGTAAAGAAAGATGTTGTGTTCATAGCCTAACAATTGTACAAAAGAACATGTCAAGGTTCACATATTAAAACATACTCCCTTCGTCCAAAATACAATTTATAACAATCCGTCTTTTCCTCATCATCTTTCCTTCACTTCTTATACATCGGTCATATATATTAAAAATTCTACAATGATCATTATAACAAATCGGAAATTAATTACTCACTTCCAACCATTTGTAACCTCTTGCTTCCTCCCAGGCAGTAAACCATCCATTTTTACTCTGCAATAATTATTTCAGTGAATGATACGTGAGAAGATTGCTAAATATATATGTTGTATTATAAGAGTAAATCTGTGTGGATTGTGGATGTTATGTTTAATGTTTCCCAAACACATAATTGTGCATTTGTGCACACACCTTGTTTGATGTTTTTATTTATCTTTATTTTTTCTATTATAAAAAATAAAATATAAAAAAAAAAAAAAAAAAAACCTAACAAGATTTGAATAGTCTTTTTCAATTGCTAATCATATGTAATCTTTAATCATGCTAGTAGTGAGTGAGCTTCCTTAATTGTAACAATGTAAAATGATAATGATAATGTTGATGACTTTAAATTTCCCCTCATATTGAAATGTTACTGCATAATTTTGTGCTCACTTCTGGTTAGGTGGTTCATATTTTGCTCTATGAATGATAATTAATTTATCAATGACATTTCTTTCATAATGGTAGTTTTTTTTGTTAATTGGCTATACTATTATTTCTACAATTTAATGTGATTATATTTTTGTTGTCGATTAGTATTAGTTGGTGGTTCCCTAACAACATTGAAAGGTTGTCTAGCTAGTTTAATTTAATTTGCTCATTTGCAAATTTGCGCGGATGAGCAAATCAGTTTTGCTCATTTCATTTGCACTAAATCAGTTTTGTTCTTATTTAGCATTAGTAAACAAATTTTCTCATTCAGTTCAGATTAAAAAAAAAATATAAAAAAAAAATTCTCCCTCCATTTTTTTTAAGTATTACACTTTTCTTTTGTGGCTGTTTTTTTAGTGTTACACCTTTTTTGTTGGCCTTGAATGGCGAAAATTAGGAATATAACTCTTACGAAAGCTAACTTCTACGCTACAGTTACTCGAACTCTAGATCAATGTCAATCAATTTATCTCCATTATACGTAGTCTTATAGCTAGATAATAATTCACTAAACATAGAGTTGCATTAGCATTGGATTCTTACCTGTAGAGAAAGCAAGACATTGACGGAATCATAAAGTCGCTCAGGGTCCATCTTTTTTCCAACAATTTCCGGGGGCATTGTTGATAACATTAGACAACACTTGATAACAAATACAGTATAAAAAAAGAGGAAAAAAAAAAAAAAGAGTTAACAATGTAATTAAATAAAATCCCAACTGCATTAATTAACGGAAAAATTAAATAAATTAAAGTTGTACCTTGAGGGCGTCAGCGGTGCAATCAGAAACTTGCCAACCTTCATCACGATCACAGAAAGACCAAGCTCCTTTTGAGATGTGTGGATACATACTGTTGAAGTCACCCGATGGATTTTCCTTTATCTACATTTTAACATTGTACGTTTAGTGGATATAACTTATTAATTACTTTCAACAACCAAATCTCTACTTCACCAAAAAAAAAAAAAAAAAAAGGCAGGTCATAATATTAATCAAACAAATAAAGCATACAATAACAACAACAACGACAAACAAAAAAAAAAAAAAAAAAAAAACAAAAAAACCAAACAATTTGCGATCAATGATATTTTATCTTTTCTACTCAAATAAATTAAGAAACCCAATAATTACATAAGGGGAAAAAAATCACACTAATAACCAACCTAATTAATCTAAAAGTCAAATAAAACTAGCTTATTTACAATCACACATGCTTTTTATTTTTTTAATTTTTGGGTGGTTTTGGTTATCACAAATTCTTATATGTGTCTGGCCACACCGTTTGGCCAACCATCATGGGGTTACTTTGTTAGTATTATAAGGGTTACTCGGTCAATGTTACAGGGGTTACTTCATCATTGTTACATGGGTTACTCGGTTAATGTTTTAGGAGTTACGTACTCGATTAGCATAGGTTTACTCGGTCAGTGTTTTAGGGGTTCCGTTTGTTCTGTTATAAGCAGCCGCATGGTATGACCAGCCGTATAGAAAACACGTTGATTTGTTATTAATCTCAGTATCATGTGATTTATTTCTCTTTTGCAATTCTTTCATAACAAAAAAATTAATAATTAGAATTCACACTTTTATATATACTGAATAATTTGTTAAAAAAAAAAGATGGGTAAATATTTTTACTTTATAAATCGAATAATTATGCTTATTTATATACATATAATTTTAATACATGCATGTGCATATAAGGTGAGTAAGAATAAGGCAAATTGATCAATAGTTATTTTTAAGAAAAGTGTACCACCTGTGACTCTTTGAAGTAGAAGTGAGCTCTCTTTAAAGCAGGTCCAATTTCATCAAGACTCATATTTGAAGCTAACAATGCTTGGACAGATAATCCACAATCCCATTGTTGGCTCCCAATACCATGCACTTTAATCCGTCCTCGGATATCCAAATTAAATATAATCGGGGATTCTAGCAAGATGTTTCTTAAAATTATCTCCTTCAGGATTTTCCACCCAACATGCCAACATACATAGCGACTGTAAAAATAATAATTAATTTAAGTTAAT